TATATATATATATATATATGTATATATATATATATATTTACATAAATATATATAAATATAAACACATAAACATTTATAAAAAAAAATAAATATATATATTCTGTGTCTTTGTCTTTGTCTTTGTGTTAGGATTTTTTGGAGTGTTTGTCTTTGGGTTTACCCCCCACAGCGGGGCTGGGTTTAGGGATTGATCGTTTGCTGCTGCTGCTGAGCAGCAGCAGCAGCAGCAGCAGCAGCAGCAGCAGCAGCAGCAGCATCAGAGACTGTCTTTGTCTTTATACTCCGCCTTGATACTCTTTTTCTTCTCTCTAGGGTTTAGGGTTTAGGGTTTAGGGTTTGAGGGTTTAGGGTTTAGGGTTTGTGTCCAGCTGACTCAGCAGCAACAGCAGCAGCAACAGCAGCAGCAACAGCAGCAGCAACAGCAGCAGCAATTTCAAGTGTATGTGCTGGTATCACTGGCTAGCTGGCTGTGGCTAGCTAGTTGTGGCTATCTTAGAATGCCTAGCTAGCTGTAGCTAGCTAGCTGCAGCTAGCTAGCTGCAGCTAGCTAGCTGCGGCTAGCCTGCTAGCTGTGGCCAGCTAGCTGTGGCTAGCTAGCTGTAGCTAGCTAGCTGTAGCTAGCTAGCTGTGGCTAGCTAGCTGTGGCTAGCTAGCTGTGGCTAGCTAGCTGTGGCTAGCTACCAGTACCTAGCTAGCTGTGGCTAGCTAGCTGCAGCTAGCTGCTGCTGCTGCGGGCCGAGTAGAAGTGGTGCTGGCGTTGAATAGAAAACAAAAAAACAAAAAAAAATTATTTTATTTTTTATTTATTTTTATTTTGTTTTTTGTTTTTTTTGTTTTTTTAGTTTGCTCTTTAATAAATAATTATAATAAATATAAATATAAATATAAATATAAACATAAATATAAATATAAATATAAATATAAATATAAATATAAATATAAATATAAATATAAATATAAATATAAGTAATAGTAAATAAAAAAATAAAAAATAAACAAAAAATTGTTTTTTTTTCTTTTTATGTTTATTGCCGCTAACAACAAAAAACCATCCAGCAAACAGCAGCAGCAGCAGCAGCAGCAGCAGCTGCTGCTGCTGCTGCTGCTGCTATTGCTGCTGCAGCTGCTGCTGCAGTTGCTGCTGCTGCTGCAGGAGCAGCCACTCTCTGCCCTGCAGCGCCTCCTTGCGACAGCAGCCCCTAGCTGCTATTGCTGTTGGTGCTGCAGCAGCAGCAGCTGTTGCTGCTGCTGCTGCTGCTGCTGTTGCTGCTGCTGCTGCTACTGCTGTTCGCCCCTCTCTCGGTCTTTTGGTGCAGTTTTAGCTTCAGGAGCAGCAGCAACGTTTCCTGCTGCTGCTCCTGCTGCTGCTCCTGCTGTTTTTGCTGCTGTTGCTGCTGCTGCTTCTGCTGCTGCTGCTGCTGCTGCATTTTGTTGATGCTGTTGGTTGTTTTGTTGTGCTGCGGGTTGTGGGGGGTTATCCCTGGGGCTTTGAATTAGCTGCTGCTGCTGCTGCTGCTGCTGCTGCTGCTGTTGTTGTTTCTGCTGTTGCTGGTTTTGCTGCTGCTGCTGCTGCTGCGGTGGTTTCTGCTGCTGCTGTTGCTGCTGCTGTGTCTCCGTCTGTTCCTGTTGCTTTTGTTTTTGTTGCTGCTCTTGCTGCTGCTGCTGCTGCTGCTGCTGCTTCTGCTGCTGCTGCAGCTGCTCCTCCTGCTGTTCCTTCTGCTGCTGCTCCTTCAGCTGCTGCTCCTTTTGTTTCTGTTTTTGCTGCTGCTGCATGTGTTGCAGCACCGCTTCTATTTCTTTGTGCTGCTGCTGCAGCAGCAGCAGCTGTTCTACTGAGGGTTTGTTTAAGAGGAGAGGAGCGAATGCCAGCATATGAGGGTTTAGGGTTTCGTCATTAGGGTTTAGGGTTTTGTCACTAGGGTTTAGGGTTTTGTCACTAGGGTTTAGGGTTTCATCATCATCATCATCATCGTCTTCATCTTCATCCTCATTATAATTAAAATTAGGGTTTAGGGTTTTGTTTTGAGGGTTTAGGGTTAGCTGATGTGTGAAATTAGGGTTTAGGGTTTCTGTATGAGGGTTTAGGGTTTTGTCTCTAGGGTTTAGGGTTTGTGTATGTATATCTATGTTATGGTATCTGTAGTATTGCATGAGGTATGTATGAGGGTTTAGGGTTTGATGATTAGGGTTTAGGGTTTGTGAATAGTATTGAGGGTTTAGGGTTTGTGGTGTAAATTTAGGGTTTAGGGTTTCAGTAAACAAACCAAAAAAACTTTCATATTTATTTCCGTGTTCTATTTCATCTTTTTGTGTTTCATCGATCGCCTCAAATAAAAAAAGAGGAAAAGGGAGATGTGGGAGCCGAGGGTTATCGTGAGCAGCAAGAAGCAGAGTAAGTGTATTAAGTTCTTCTTGTCTTTGTCTTTGTCTTTGTATTTTTTTTTTTATTTTATTTTTTTTTTTTTTTTCTTTTGCAGTTT